ATAAGGATCGACGAAAATTGAAGTATCTACTCTATATTAATAAAAGGTCATTTATGTGATTATTTGGTAATCCAGTGATTAGAAATGAATTCTCACTCTATATTAATAAAAGGTCATTTATGTGATTATTTGGTAATCCAGTGATTAGAAATGAATTTTTAATATCCTTCGATTCATCTTGGCGAGACATATTGAATGGTATAAAAATCATTAGACTCTATTTGTTCGATCACGCGTTAAGCTCGATATTACATGATCTACCACCCTTTTACTTATAAAGCCAATTTTATTAAATAAAACAATATTAGTATATTGAATAAAGTTATTCAAAAGATTAAAATATACATATTCTAAAAGTTTGATATTAATTAAGCAACTTTTTATTAATATATTTTCTTTTATAATTTTTTTTTATGTCTTACAAAATAGAGAACCAGACTTTAAATTTTGACTCTAAACAAACCAGGTTTAACTTAGATTTAAAACTTAATAAAAACCTGGTTCTTGGGTTTGTTTAATTTGGCACCTATGGTTATTAAACCAAACCAAACCTAAACTTTACTATATATCCCAATTTAGACGACACCTTTTCAGGACCTATCAATATGCGCCTTCTAAATATAGATAATAAAAAAAGATTATAGTCTTAAATATACGCCCATAATTTATATACTATTAACGCAAACATTGAGGGTTGTTAATTGATTGGGTTGGTTTGAAATTAGTTTCAACCAAAACCAGCTTGGAGTACTTATGTTCTAATATAATACGCTAGTTTTGTCACCAGTTTAGTAAACTGACTTGAATATTCTATATTTTATAACTACACCAGTCTGGTTTTGGTGTGCACCGGAGTATGATATTCCAATTAACAACCCTAGCAGAAATAATCATCAAACCTTATGAAAAGGTTCATCATCTTCAATATCAGAATCTATAAATTTTCTGCTTTTACGTTTTTTTGATTCTTCTCCCCAAACTTCACTTTGTTTTTCGGTATATTCACGTAATTGTTGATCAGTTCTCCTTTGATTCTCTAACGCTTTTTCCAATTCTTCTCTTTTTTTTCGTTCCTCTTCCATCTTCAAAAAATAAATGTCAATATGAAATACGTAAAAAATCATTAATATAAAAATTATTAAACTTATTTACAGCAATC